GCTCACACACATATGGGGGACACCGTCCCTCTGTATGTCTGCTTGTTGGGATTAGGGAATCCTAACACACTGAAGGCAGAAAAGAGGGGGGGAAACGTTAAAAGGTGGTTTTGCAGTACATCTTAGAATGATTTGGTAACTAATGCTTTCCAGCCATAGCTAATTCCCACCGACGCCACTGCAAGGAGTGAGTGAGTGGGCACAGCCAACTCTTGGTGAGAATATATTGTGACAGGGCAGCAGCAAACGTGACTGCTAGCTCACCTTCCCATGGCAAACCATTCCCAGAGGAAGGGCCTCTTCTTTGTCCCAGGCCACTGACCTGGCTGGCTTAAGATACCTTCCATAGGAACAGCCCCTGAGCCTGGTTGGACATCCCCACAGTGATGGCAGGGCAGGCCCTAGAAGCCCCTGAGAGCCCACTGGCCCATCAGCCTAGAGTGCGACTGAATCCCAGCCATGGACATATTTCTTAGGCTCTCCCTCCAGGCCCCACAGAATCCTGATCCTGGTTGCTGGGCAGGGATTCTCTTCTCAGGGCTCAGCCATACCCATCCCTTCCCAGCATGCCTCTTGAGGGAAGAAGAGAGACAGGGCTGGGAAGGGGCTTCAGCCTGACAGCAAAGCAAGAGGCGAAGAGCTTGGAAACCTTCTCCACACCCTCCCGAACTCCTCCTCCTTACTCTTTTTGTTTCCTTTCACCTTTTTGCCTGTCACCTGGTACAAACAATAGGACTTAGGCTGATGTTTGTTGCTTTTTTGTTTTTGTGTTTGTTTTTTTTTTATTGCATCACGGCTTTACCTCCCTCCTCCCCTGTTTCCCTCCAGAATGGGCCACCAGGTTCCAGTCCCCCTCACACCCCACCCTGCTCAAAGGGACCCGGGACTCCCCCTTGGGAAGCCTGGTAGACACCAGTGCTGGGATTACTCAGGCAAAGAAAGCGCTAGATCAGGGGCCTGTGTGCAAGGAGCCTCCTGTCTCTGCTCAGAGAGGGCTTGCAGGCAGTTCTGAGGCAATTCCATGAACAGCCCTATTTACCTCACTGAAAACCCTTCCACCTCCACCCCTATTATCTTAACTTCTGCCTTCTGTTTTTGTAGACCGTGTGCCCCCTCTCCCCACCCTTTGCTCTTTCCCCTTCTAATGGATTTTCATGCACAGTTTTCCAGGAAAGCAGAACTCTTGGCTCCCTTCCTGATCCATCGGTCCCACCCCTCAGCTCAGTCCACAGGACAGCCGTGGGCACCGAGGCTCCTGTCCGGAGCAGGAGCCTTTATGGCTCTCCCCCAAGGGGGAAGGTCTCGTGGGGGGTGTGGTGGGTGACTTGTTTTGGGGAGAGCCCGGGAGAGATGTGAGGAGCCCTGTGAACCCCCCACCCATTCCTGGGCAGCAGCTGATGGGCCTGCCCTCTGCTTGGCAGCTCTGGGAGTGAGAGGGAGGGGGAAGGGGTAACAAGGTATTCTAGGAAAGGACTGATAACAGATAACTCCAGAAGGAAATCTCCTGCGAGGACCTTGCAGGACATCTGAGCAGCCCCTCAGAGGATTCCAGCCACCACATAAATTCCTAGACCGTCTGCACTGAAAAGGCCCTTGCAGATCAGCAAATCCAGCCCTGCATCTCCCATCTTACAGGCTGAGCAAACTGAGGCCAGGATTAGCTGGTTGGGCTGCCTTCCATTCCTCTCAGGTGAGGGACTCAGTGCTCACCTGGCTGGATTTGGGACCCAGCGGACACAAAAGCTGCTTTCAAAAACCCAGTTCCTTCCCAGCAGAACCTTGGCCCTTTTGACCTGGGAACATTCCAAGGCTGGGTGCGGAGGGGGCAGGCGCGGTACTGGTCACTCCGGACTCTCCCAGAACCCACACACCCCCTCCGCGCCGCCACCCGAGCCTCGCCTCCCGTTTCTGGGGCGGGGGGCGGCCCACCACGTCAAAAACCCGCATGGAAGAGAAGGGGCATTTGCCATTCAGACGCACCTAATGGTGGCTGGGTCCTTTTGCTGTGGGTTTGGTGGTCTTTAGGAGCAGCATGGGGGAGGGGGAGGCCCCTTCACAGCCCTTGCGCTTGCTCCAGTCTCAGGAAAGTGGTTCTCGAACACAGATCTCCCTCTGAAGCCCCAGCTCTGGACGGGGCCCTCCCCCCAGTGCCCCTCACCCCAGCCACCAAGATCCAGTTGGGGGAGTTTGGGGCAAAGTGTGCCAACGGCCCGTGCGCAGAGCCTGAGGGGAGTGGAAAGATGCTGGCTGGAGGGGCGGGCCCTCGACAGCTTCCCCACCCCCTTCTCTTCCACCCTCTTTCCCCCATATGGTTCTCATAAGGTCTGGGCTCAGAGACAGCAGCCAGAGGAAGTGGCTGTGTACAGAGAGCTTTTGTGAGGGAGAGGAGGGGGAGGGGGAGAGAGCAGAGAGAAAGAAGGAAAGAAAAGAGGGAAGAGGCTGGGGGCCGAAGGTGGGAGGAGGCTAGAAGACTCCAACCCACTACCTTCCCCTCCTGGTGCAGGGTCTCAGCTGCACCAAGCCCCTGTGGGCTTCTGACCCCGCCTGTGTGAAATCAGGGGCCCAGAAGAAATCCAAGTTCCCCCCTGACTTTCCAACTACCTGCCCGGAGAAGCTGGAGGCAGCCAGCCCCTCCCTGGAGGTCTTGGGGACTCTTGCCCTTAGGGCTCTTGTGAAAGATGTAAGGGTCCTTGCTCACATCTCAGGGCAAGCACTGGGCGGAGACCAGAGCCCTCTGGGGTTTACTGGTTGAGTCCTCATTGCGCCGATGAGACTGGAGAGGCCACCGCACTGAGCTCCAAAGACAACCCCTATAATTCAGCATCCCAGTGGTTCCAGGACCCAGAACGGGTAATTTGGCCTGAACTACTCAGAACATGTGCATGAACCCAGCTACTCCTGATCCCCAAGGAGGTCCCTTCCTGCTGACTACCATGGATCATCCTTCTGTGCTGGGGGATGGGGTGGTGGGCAATCCCCAGTCCTGGGGGTGAGTCTGAGAATTTCCCCCAAGGGCACAGGCAAACCAGTGTAATTTGAACCTGACCATAAATTGACCCTTAAATTGGGGGTCATGTTTTTAAAGGGAGAGAGTTTCCAAGTTTATGCCACATGAGAATCATTGGGATAGGAACCCTTTCCTGAGGGAGAAAAAGTTCCAGCCACCTCTGAGCTGATCCTTCCATTCAGTGGGCTCTCCTCACCGAAGCCCAGAGAGGGGAGGTGAGTTCCCCAAAGCCACACAGCCTGAACCAGTACGCCTCACTCCCTCTAAGGTATAGACAGCCCTCCCCCCCCCCCCACTCCTCCCTGGGACCAGACAGAGAGCAGGGGAGAAGAGGGGAGGGAAATGGCCCTGGGCTGAGGAACTAGAAGGCAAGTCCGGTAACTGCTAGGAAGGGGCTGCTTGGAGGGGCTGTTTATTTTCATTCCCCCAGCCCAGCCGCTCTGTTCTATTTAGAGCTCAGACACTGACAGGACAAAGCTGCCTCCTCCCCTTCCTCCCTCCTCTGGCGGGCCCCCATCCTTCCCAAACTCCAGAACATTCCTTTGCTTTTAGGACTGGTGATGGGGGTGGGGGGAGCAGAGAAACTGTGGAGTGTAGCAAAGTCAGGCAACCTCCCAGGACCCAGCTTCTCCAGCCCTTCGAGTGGGGAGAGGCGGGATGGGGGAGCAAAGGGCTGTGCAAGATGGATGGGGCCAGGTGAGGGGCAGGGGAACCAATCTGTCACAGAGGAGCAGGGAACGGGGTGGAGAGAAGCCTGGGGAGGGAGTTACAGCCTGACCATGAGGGGCCAGACATCTCCCAGCTGGAAAGAGAAGGAAGGTCCGAGAGCTGCACCCCCACCCACCCACCCAGGGCTCTTTGCCTGCTGGGAACCGTGTGGTGAGGCAGAAACTTCAGACTTCAGGCTCTAGGAGACACAGTATTCAGGATGGGAAAAACCATCAAATATAATGAGTGGGAGTCTTCTGTCCAAACCCTTCTTTTACTGAGAAGAAACCCCCAGAGAGGGGCTGACCTGCCCAAGATGACACAGCTCGGAGCCAGACCCAGGGTTCCTGCTCTC